TGATTCATGAATGCTAACAGTATTTGTAACCAAAGATTGCACAGATAGCGTACATGCGACTATTCAATGCAAAGTCACTTGAGAATGACAAACTACAAATTAATTCAGACCTTGCTGAACTGAGTTTTACACATATAATTTATATAATGAATTAAACCGCAGAAATTGAAACAAGATTGTTCTGTAATTACAACAAGTCAACCAACTGTATAATATCATAAGTTTCCATCTCAACTGACTTATTAACATTCAGTGAGAATGTGAGAACAACGAGCTGCCAATAATGTAATCAATGGCTTACGCAGGCTTACCAAATCGGTGACAAAGAAACAGCGTCTATGCATGATAATCGTATTTTAATACTGTAGGTTATAAATATTATGAGGCATTTTGATATTGTTTATGTTTGATTGATCCAATAATATGTTAGTACGTATACGTATTATATACTGTACATTTATTATCTACTGCATATCAGGTACTGTCATCTGTACCACTAGCATTTTAACAATGTTGGAGAAATATTTATTTTATTATGCTGGATATAATACATGATCGTCACTATGATAACAGACTTGACCTGTAACATCTAATCTTCTCGAACGGGTCCGGGTCCCATGACTGGTCATATCAGACTGGGTATACTATATACATTGAATGCATTCTTTTTATCTGATAGATTGTGTTTTAATAATTACAATTTTATAGTTGATCGCATGTTATACAACCATAAACATCGATTGTGCTATCTATAGAACAATGCTTATCATATCCGCTATCGCTGCATTAACTGTTAATTAAAATGTCACTATCTGAATAAAACCTAATGTGTATGTTTGCTACCAACAAACAAGTAGATACTGAGTCGGAAGGAAACTATGGACTGGATACTGATTATTAGTGGTGCTCTTGTTATTGATATGTAAGATTATAGCGTTGCATCAATGAGTTTGGAAAGTAGTAGTAGTGAAAAGCACCAATACTTATGCGATAACTTATCAGAACCTAAATCAGAACAAACTTTGTCCGTATTAAATTGGAAATACATATGCACTTGACATATGAAGTAGTAGATACTGAACTTGTACTATACTTGTGTACCAATGGAAATGGTTATATAGACCTGGAGAGAGAAGTAGGTAATATAGCCATATAGGCTCACAAACATTATGTTATGTACAAAGCAAAGTTGTCGTGAGTAAATAACTTTTTGTTGTTTGATGTTGAGCTTTTCCTACGTACAATATACTTATATCTCGTTTGTCAAATTTCAGTGACTATGAAATAATTATGCGGTAACTCTTGCGCTTTCGTTTTTAAACTTCTAATTTATGATGACGTAATTAATACTCTTCCATCGTTGACAGGTAAAAAATATGTATAGGCTGTCATACAATAAGCTCATTAATTATTGCGTGATCCACACGCGAAACCGAAGTTTATCCCACGAAAAGGATAAACTTCATTAAGTCGAATTGTTTTCTTTATCAAGGCTACTCGCAAATTCGTATATCGTTTCGAATAAATTCTTACCGTTTCGTATTTGGTTTTTACTGTACTGTGTATTGATTCAATAAACTTTAGCCTTGACTATGCCTCTCATGCACAATTACACAACGCCTTTGCCTTATATGAATAAACTGTGACATACTTATATATGTGCGACGATCAAATTAATTCGTTCAACCGAGCGAAGATAGAGTCACTATTCGTTCAAACAGCGAAGATAGAGACACTATTCGTTCAATCCGAGCAAAGACTTTGTTGTTTGTTACTTGTGAATACCTCGCTTTTTTTTGCTCAAATTATTATGATAGTGAGTCATATGATCACCCACATTCTCTTTTGACTTATGTGATATGTAAAAAGAGCCCCTTTTCAAATATACGCCGATACAATCTGGTTAATATAGTATTAGTATGAATCTTATTTGTTACACGTTATCGAAAGAATAATACATTATCGTGAAAATCAATCATGGGAACAGTAGATGTGACGAATAAGTTGATATATCAATACATCAATATCTTAATAAAGTTATAAGCGCTAATTTACATTATTTACTATAAATGGGAATATTGTTATTATTACCAAAAATATGCAGATACCAGGGAGACTATAAGACTTACAATTTATGTGTCACAGTATGCGATAATATTTGGGAACATTAACGACAGCCAACCAAGTTTAACCAAAACATAAACTAAGCTCCCCCCAAAATATTCAAAACATTTCGCTTTGAAATATCATGGCTTTGTTTCGAAGCTAGCCGTAAATGTTAAGCGTGCTCCTTGCGTAGTGTTTCGTAAGTGGAAAAAAATACGCTAACCATTTAATATAAATTAATTTTCAACGCATTACCTGCTTCATAGTAACCATCAACATAGTTGGAGAGCGATTCGCTTTTTCTAAGTTTAACCCCTTTGGTTTTTTATCATTTAGGGTTCTGCAATGGTCTTGTGCCGCCGGCTTGCGTGATATAATGCCTGATTTGCTAATTTATCTAAATTAAGTATTTTTCTGACATAGCGTATAATGAAAAAGGAGTTTTTTGAAGGTGTGGCTTGTGTTCTAGTTCAATGTCTGAAACAACATTCTTCAGTTGGGGAATCTCTTAATTTTTTATTTCGCATCCGCTCTTTTACTTTTAGATATATGGAATGTGGAGACATGGTCATGGAAGATTGGTAAATTTTACACACTCTCACATTCATTCTTTTCAGAAATCTGAACCTGTTGCAAATCTTAATAAATTTTTTGATCTCAGGACCAGATGCCGCATTAAGCTCGTCGTAGCAAGCAATACGTGGGGAAGGCCTTAGTAGTGATGACGATAAAGTATTGTCCATGACTTGGTGGACCATTCGAGATACCGATACGAGAAGAGGCTCAGTATGTCAAGCATAAGGGGTGGGGATTCCTTTCAAACATATGAAACTTGTAGTGATCGTGAACGATCTTTCTTTAATCTCAGATGAGCCATCGGACGGAGCACGACGGTGAGCAAGTGAAACTGCAAGGGGCTTTGAACGGTCATCGATCTCTGGAAGGTGACCAAATCAGGATAAACTTTAGTGGTATAGTAGTCTTAATTTTATACTTAAGCAGTTTCCGACAACGATAATAATACTAATGGCTTATTGACTGACGCCTTTATTCTACTGTAGGATCCGAAAAAAGAAGCCATGAAAGGCTTCCCCAATTACGTTGCTAAACGCTTGACTCATCCAGACATTTGGTAATGATGCTTACATTCACCGGAGATGTTCTTAATTAGCGACGCTTGTAAAAATCCTCAACGCCAGATTATTAACACATTGGCGAAAAGACGATCGGATTCTGGGCCCATCTCCAAGAGGCTATTCATATGATCCAACTCGGCAGCAGTGATACCGTTATTAACTTTGATAACGTTACGTCTCAGGAATCATCCTCTCAACAAGTATTAGCAGGGACATTAGATCAGAAATTAAACGAGCAGCAGTTGTACTGTTTAGAAGGTTAATTGAAATATTGCAATTGAACCTCCACTGCAGAAAACCGATCGTGACCATTGTGGAGGGGAGGGGAGTGTCTTGGGAGTGTCTTGAAAGTGCTACCAGAAGAGGGTAAGTTGGAGATAGACAGACTTTGTTATAAATAAATTTTTTCTTTTGCTAACAACAAGCATTTATTAGAGACGAAGCAAACGTTTAGATTCCATCGCCGAGCCCGTTAACGCTTCCTGCGCTGCTTAGAAGCGTCCAGCTTTTTAGTTGCTTACCTTACTTAAGAACCTGTTACGGATTCTATAGTATAATGTAGGTCCTAATGTCCTCTTATTTCACCCTTGTCTCGTTAATCAATCTTCACACTACCTCCTACATAGTACATCATCAATGCCATCTTCTTCCCTTTATGATTCTCTGGGCTGAGCTCAATGTGTATTTTCTTTCCGATCCCTTCCCTCTATCAATCTTCATGTCATCCTTCACACACCGATACATTATCGTGCCAGTCAAACCAGTACGCCATGAAACTGTATATGTTCGACGAAAAGGCTTCTTCCGACGCATTCATGTCGCTGAAACTGATGTTTCTACATTTCCTGGTACCTAATTGTGCCATCTCGTCCTGCATCATCCGCAGTGAAATTCCTTTATCGAATTCGACCCAATCAACTCTAGACTACATAGTTCTCGTTCTCGTTGTTTAATTTCTTCCAACGGAGCTCACTGAACACGAGAAAGAGGCTGTACCTCTAGCAATTGATGCCTGGCCACGAAACCATGTCTTAAACGTCCCTCTTTTGTGCTTCTTCTATAATCACCACCATCACCACCACCACCACCTCAATCATCTTAATAAGAATCGTCTCAGGCTGCATTGTAACATGCATTGGACATAAGCGGTACATTTATTAATCCATGATGGTAAAATCGGAATGACGTATCGGAATTCTCTAACGCAGACACGGTAATATAGATCTACTGGTTACTTAACCTTCGAAATACTCTCTTGTACATTCGTCCTCTAAAGTCTTTTTCCTCAATTCACATGCCAATAATTTTGCCCAGAGCCGATAACGAATATTAATGATTTCCGCATTGCTGCGGAATGAAAGTCGAAAGCTATAACTGTCGGTAATCTTGTTAATTTTCTTTATAAACACCTGTTGAAACAATGATTCGTGCCGTGGAATCAATGATCCGTGTGGAAAAGCAGATCAAGCAGACGTGGTATATTGAGAGCAAGGTTCTAACTACGAATGTAAGGTATGTTACTAAACATAGATACAGTCTACAGCTTCACTCTTAATTTCCGCCACCACCTATCTACATTTACTCACCAAATATAAAGCTTCGCATTACGCTCAGTCGAAGTTTTAGCAATGATTATTGGATGGGACAGCATAGACAGAATCAAGATAAACATGCATATTCGACAATCTTTTCCCCATACCCTTTCAAATCTCAACTTACCCAAAGCTCTTCTATCTTTTATCCGTCTAGCTTTCCGTCTAATCGCATATTATCATTTCAACCTTTCCGCAACGCGTAGCATATCGACTTCTTCGTCATCATCTTCATCATTCGCCAACCTTAACGACATCACCCTTTCCAATCCTTTTAAAGGTTTTACCAATCAGTCGGAGTAGTGCGAGATACATACACAGGGCACCATTTTATTTTGGTTTGGCGCTGTATAAGGAATAACCGTCACACGTCACGATGCCTCACCTCCTTGGCAAAATAATACTGGCTCGCTCTAATCGGAAAATAATTGCCGTTTGTGAGTTATTCACTTTCTCTTTCCTGATACTTGGAAATTACGTCTAGGAATGCCGAGGCATATGAGCATACTGCATTACTCTTTAGGGATCGGATGGTAAAGTATATTATACGACAAATATAAATATAATCGTAATTAATAATTAATAATCATATAATAATAATATTTTGTTAATAACTATGTACCAATTATAATCTTAATCATATCCACTTTTCAACATTCTAAAGAATGTTTATCCCTGGAATATATGAGGCAACACGTTAATAAACACGTCTTCAGCACCGTGAACTCTCCCCGTCCCGGCATTGCAGTTAAGCCAGAGTTTTATTAAACGGAGAGGAAGAAAGATTACTGCTGACGTTCTAATTCGCTGGCTGATTGCAATAATCTGAATCGTACGCTTTCTGATATATCGCTCTTTTGTTGTCGCCATCACTTGGTGAAATACAACGATGCCGCAGTATCTCAGCTGGCATGGTAATCGCCGGTAAATGAGACAAGCGTTCAGTTTATTAAATATTCATTTCGATATCGGATAACGAATTTATTCGATTTCATGTTTGACTGAATAGACGGATTAGGCGTGAGAGTCTTAGCCATGTTCGACACAAGCGGGTATCTTGTGGAATTAGTTATTCGTGGATGTGTGGAAAGGTGATCTTTTATCTGTTTGTAAACTGTGAGTATTACTAATGCTTCTCTATTTTATTGCATCGACATTCCATGGACTGTGATTTAAAAGCGATGACGAATTCCTGGTGGGGTTATCTGGTCCATACCTGGTCTCTTGAACTTATACCAAATTTATTTTCCTTCTCCACCTTTGCTCAATTTTAACACATTGCAGATCCAAGGCTTTAAATACGATACGCCTATTCCAATCAAACCTGTTACGTAGAACATTCCGAGTTGGAATACCAAGTTACGCCAGAGATCGGTATTAATCTGGTGCATGGTGTTTGTGAAGACCGAAGAATATCGAGAAGTTGATATCATTATGATTTAATGACAAGTTGATGTTAATGTCGGTTGTTACTGTTGTTAGGATTAATTGATTGTTAATATTAATTACCATCCAGCATTATTAGATTTCATATGTCAATTCGCCCGCATATTGTATATATGCTTTATTTACGTTATCTATGGCCGTGGAGGACCTGTTATTTTACGACGTAGAGAGAATCATGGACAAACATGTTGTTTTACGACACGGATTCTTGTTTCCAGAGGGGGTCAATTCTTTTTCAATATAGACCTTTGGTTGGCATATCAATTTATTGTCATTAGCGTCAGTAGCTACTTACTAACCCACATACAAATTGAGTTTCATTCTCATTGGATAATAAACCGATGCGAATTGAGCGTTTAGGAGAATAAATTTTGTTACAAAATACCTTGACGATGCCTAGAGTGTCATTATTCGAAAAGCTATTCACAGACGCGTATATGGATGTCTAATGTTTTTGTCTATTTATGCATAACCACGTATATGATGACTCGTATCACCGATTGGCAATTCCAATCCCAGCACCTTAAGTACCAAAGTTCACGTTCCATACTTACATCAACAGTCCTAACTTATTTTACGGGCTAACTGAAGTGAATGAGAATTGAGCATCATATCAGTTTAAAATGTAATCGTGCCATTAAAATGGCTGTTTGACATATATGTTAAGACATTTATCGAGGAATATAACCGAATATATTCTTGTTCCGCCCAAAAATTTATCGGGTATCGAGATCTTTTTTACCTATAATCAATAATATATGAATGATACGCAAAATATCAATTTATCGAGGTGTTAAATAAAATTATCAAGCTTTATTGTATACTTATGTAGGCTAACAATTTTTTAATTATTCATATATATATATGTATATTTTGAATAGAGTAGCAAATTTCCTGTTTATTGTAAAATATAACCAATCAGAAATGTTTGTCTTTGTTAAATATTACACACGAGATGATCGTAAAGGTTATAACAGGGTTTACTATTACTATAATTTATCGGTATAACAGGGGAAACTGTTTCGTCTAGGATTTTGGGAGCGGAGTTTTCTATCGTTATATGCAGGTTATCAGCATATCGGGTATAAGTACGATTTGACCGAAGTAAAGGCCATTGCATTGATCAAAAGTTATAACGGGATCGGTCGTCAACCTTCTCTTTCCGAAACCTTTATTGATATAACGGGGAATTCTTCTTTGTAAATTTTTAGTATGTCGAGTGACATTATTGCTAACAGAGGCATGGTTAAAATTAAAATAGGTTAACCAAGGTATTGTAGATTTTATATGTCAAACGTTTGCAGATCCAACTACGGGTGGAACTAAGAGACATTTTCTCTAAATAGGCATAATACGGAGCTTGATGTCGTTTCAAAACTGCTCACAAATCTAAAAAACCATGGTAAAGGAACTGAGTGAGCCACAGTGACGCCACTATGATCGTAGTACAGCCAAATGGAATTCGCTAGTTGACTCATAATAACCCGTAATTGTTTCTTCTTTCCATTCGAACAATATATTTAGCAAGCGAAGTATAATAGCAAGATTTTCCATAAGCATCTAAATATAACTGAAACAAGATGATGGTATATTTGTGCGCAGCCGGCACATGACAATACGCAATACCCGAATGTACATTCAGTACTTGGTAGTATGTCATTGAATATTTGTGGCGCCCATTAGTTTTACCCGGATTTCCACATTATGTCCCGAATACCATATCGAATACATGTTTTATTTTTTAGTTGATAAATCATGAAACGAGGAGCTTCGCTACTCATGTGAAGACTTGGCGGTTCAAAAACTATAAATGAGTGGCATGCCCTTCTTATCCGATTCAACCACTCGATCTAGTATCAAAATGTGCACAAATATCAAGTTAATGCGTTTTTTAATAGACGAATACCTTATAAAATTCAAACAAGAGCATCGCGATATTCCTTCGACAAATGTGCCGCTGAAACTTCTAATCAGCAGCCACAAAAACAAACACATGCACCGACCCCCAAACGCATTTATAATATATAGAAAAGAAATCCAAGCGAGGCTTACCTCGCAAAAAAATGCGACGGGGTCAACATCACCGTGGATCTCGTCGACATCCACAATCGCAGGTCGACTATGGAAGGCCGAAGACCCCGAAATCAAAGCGTTCTTTATCGGTCTTAGCAAAGTCGCAAAACAGGTTTACGACCAGCTGTTGCCGTGCAAGCAAAACTGCACGTGTAAACCGAAGAAAAAAAGAAGAAAACGACTCGCTCGCGTTCGTACTACTTCAGCCCCAGAATACATCGCATGTAATGTCACAGCAGGTGATAATGCTAGTACAGCATGCTCCAACGGCACAGTATACGATAATATCACAGTATACAACATCGATGCCACAGCAAATATTACTACAATACACGACGGCAATGTTACAGCATGCGACGCTGTCATTACAGACCCTGTTATTACGGACTCTGTCATTACGGACAATGCTACTATAGCATATGACGCTGTCATCCCAGACGACATTGTCACTGACAGCACACACAGCATTGTCATTGACAACACATACAACAATACCGTTACAGAATACGACAATGGCCTTACAGCCTATGATAACGTCTTTACAATTAATGATAATACCGTTACCGAGAATGCCCCTACAGCACACGACAATATCGACTTGCATACAGGGTATGATCTACTGTTTACGTACCCGGGAGATCATGCATATGATCGAAGCGCCCCTTTGTTGGACTCGGCGGGTACTGGTTATGATTTCCCATTTCCGTATCCAATCGATTTGGCTACCACAGAAATAGCCTTTAATACGACAGACGTTAACAATAATATCGATACATATGATGCGAGCAATTATATGTATGATACGAGCAATTATATGTACGATACGAGTAATTATATATATGATACGAATAATTATATGGCAGTTGAAAATATGAATAACGATATGACTGATACGAATAATTATATGACAGTTGAAAATATGAATAACGATATAACTAATATGACTGATATCAATATGAATAACACAATATGATCACTATTACTATGCTTATACGATATAATTACATTAGATAACAATAGCTTGTGTTTGGTGGGATTTAATAACTTTATTCATTGTAGAAATCATACGAACATTTATTATTATTAATAAACAAAGTGTAGTACAAATACAGTGTGCGGGCACGTGATGCTCTCATTGACCATGGAAATGTGAGTACCCATAACTGACAAAGGTTAATTTGTGGGATCTCCCAGGATTTATCACCGCATCCAACAATTATATCGCTAACTGTGAGTCGTCGGTAATATGTCTTTATTCACATAAGCTCAATCTCATGCTTGATTTAGAATTCGACATTACCCAGACATCCTGTCTCAACCCACTCCTCCAAGCTGCAAGACATTTAAACAGCAGATTAAGATGATGATTTGGATCTTTTCATCCTCTCCGATAAACGCATAAGACCAGACCGTCTCAAGAATAACAGCTTTTACGTGACGAAACCACGTTTACTTGGAACAAAATAGCTATTACGCTCATCGAACTTTATTTGGCTAGATTTCTTGGTGGCGCGCATATCGAAGATTACGATAAGATAGATTATCATGCCCGTGCTCTTTCGCCATATCATCCTTCCAGTATAACTTCCGCTTGTTTAGTATTCTAAATTTCTTCAGAGGATAATGTTCCTGTTGACACTTGCCGATAGGATGATTGCTGAGACGCAGTTTTACCAAAGTGAAGAATAGTATCATTATTGTCATCCGCCGAATTGGATGTCACGTATGGATCATGGATAGCCTCGTGGAAAATCTAAGCTCATTACGTCAACAAATCCGGCGTTGAGGACTTTATTCATTTCCAAATATATCACGATGTCTGGACGGGTCAAATATTTGTTGGTGAAGTATCACCAAACACCGGCGTAGCTTTTGTACCGTATTTTTACTACTTGGGTTTGTGCTTGTTCTCATCTACATTCATGAGTTCAGTTTGATCTTCTAGTGTTCATCGGATTCTACAGTAGATGGGGGTATCAGTTAATAAGCCACTAGTCACTGTTATCGTTGTCGAGTATAAACAAAGGAATTCTGCAATGGTTCATTACGTAGCAAGACTGAATCACAGGCATGATCTTGAATTGAGGTTACTGACGTTGATCTAAGAACTGAATCAATACTTCTGTTGGCGATTATGCGTCTCTTCATACAATTCGTGATTAGTCAATGGCGAAAGAGACCTAAAGTTGTCAATAATTGCAACGTCGTCGACGGGAATTGCATCATCTAATTCCTTAAAAAATGCTTGCCCTGCATCAACTTGCTGTAATCATCTTTCACGACCATCAGCCAACATTCCAGTTATTCAATCCGTAGTTACCTCTTCCTCCGGAAACACAGTCAAATATTTTAACACGGGTAGCTGTCTCCCAAGTGCCATTGTCCCTGATTGAAGACACCAAAACTCTTCCAATATAATTCGTCCATGCGTTTGGTATGGCATTGATTGTATTTTCATGAAGACCATTTGCACGAATTACGTGGACTGATAAAAAATATGAGTTACCGCGCGGTAGTGACACTACCGAGGGGTCAGACTTGCCGGCAATGATTTCCTAGACCAATCAACAAAGTTTTGCTGAGCTATGAAGTTGCTGTATTGCCTACGTAATGCATAAATTGTGTAAATGAATGAAATGAACGTATACTTCAAGTGCATCCTCGTAACTATTCCATGTAAATCGTGACTTAAAGGGGTAGATCGTGAAAAACTGGACTCCGGTTAATGCCATATCAATATTTCGAGAAATCCCGTGTTAAGGAAATAGATGTCTGCGACATAAGACAATGTGCCTATTTCGAATCGGAAAATAACACAACACGCGCCGACAAAATAAGAAATGTTAGCTCGTCAATTAGTTTTAGAACATTGTTTATACTGTCGACCAATGAATCGCAGATATATTAGTCTATTGCATATAATCGTCGTTATCAAGTAGATTAGCTGTAACTCTGGTTTTAATATCCATTCGAAAATTTGTGAATATAACGAGCGCGATAATAGAGCACACACACACACACTTGTAAAGTTTCCTATATTCGAATAAAGACATTATTGCTTACGAATTATTTAGGGCGCTTTCATACAAGAAATCAGCACAAATAGATAATGGTGTAAACATGTTTCCAATGACTGCTTGAGATTGATGAAAAAGATAACACAGATTGTTTATTGATAAAAATATTTGTCAAAGCGTTGAATTAAAATGTTTGTCAGAGCATTCAATTTATTTGCAATGACGATAGCGACAATCTACTCTATTAACAATATATTGTCGCCCGACCCATTTTCCTCCGCGAAACGTCGATGATTATATACTTGGTTTCTAAATATAAAATTCACATAACAGTTAGATTATTATTGTTATTATTATTTGAGTCAATACCAATGGGAGTTACTAATACATACCTCTGAGAACGACAAGTTTTCTCACGGGGACGCCTCTGCACCGTATAAAAAGTATCTGCCGGTTTCTGAATCGGCGGCGTCAAAGTTCTCGAAAGGGATCCACTCCAAGTAGGCGTCGTTGGGCGTTGTGGATTCCCTTTGTGATTTTTT